GCAGTTCTCTCTGTGCCCAGGATGAGGTGACCCTTTTGTGGGTATTTATAGAGATCTGGGGCGGGGGGGATTGGGCTCTCTGAAGATGCCAGTCACAGATGCTGGCGAAACGTTAGGAAACAAAACTTCCAGAACACGGCCACACAGCCCGGAAGACCCACACCAGTAATAAAAACACTTTAAAAATAAACATTGTCAGTTAGCATATGGGAAATAGTAAAAGCAATCATAATAAGCCTCACAGGAAGAAAAGAGTTTCCACAGTATCTAAAATGAGAATATAAAAAGCTAGATGAATTCCAGAATAATGGTACCATCAAAGAGAAGGTCTCCCTCACCTGATCAGATTGAAAGATAGTATAAACTGAAGGGAAGTGCTAATGTTGTTTTTAATATTAATAAATATTGATAGTATTTCCTGTTTTTAGACTAACACTAATAGTTTCACCAGATTTTACAAGAAACACAGTATCTGATAGGTTGTCTCTGTGCTATGTCTCACATATCAGCAGTAAGGGAGCAGGTTTTTAAACTGTAATTGCTTTTTACCAGCCATAATGGCTTGGTTCACTCCTAATACTAAATCATAATGGGTGGATCCACATATTTCACTAAACCAACAATAAACATCATTGACTTAGTGTAACAGTGAACCAAGCCATGGTGTGATGTCATTAGGTAATGTATCTCAGGAATATAAAGAAGAAGGTCCAAAGGGATATAAAATGGCACTAGGTTATCAGATTACTGTGAAGTTCCCATGACCGTTGGGAACTAATGGAGAATTACCAGATGTTGCTTCAGGTCTGCTTGAAGAGTGGATTGAGGCCTCCTCCATCAGCAGTCATGTGGTTTCTTGAAAATAGCTAACTTTACTTTGCAAGCAGTGAGCTTTGAGGAGAAACAACTGAATTTTGCAGTAATTTCTAGCCTGAACAATCTGTGTACCCATTGGTGGGACTGCCTGGTTTGCCCTGCTTCCCAATTTGTTGGACCCTGGTGTGATGGCTGAGTCGGAAATGGTTAATTGCAAAATTCTTCATAGCAGAAAGGGTATATTGGCTTTCCTCCACAATGCACAGTGATGCCAGCACTGTAACTGTTTTAATATATGTTTACAAAGGGCAGGGGGGGTGTCTTTTTGCATGAAATTGAGGTGGTGGCAGGCAGTCCAGTACTGATTATAAGAGACATCTCACTGTTCATCTGTTGGCGAGAAAGGGAAGGTTAGCTATCACATCTTGGTTAGCACTGTTGACTTGCAGGGGAAGAAATCATAGCCATTCCCATGTTGTCTGTTACTTAAACAATAAAAACAGTCCTCAAGCCCTCTTTCCTTTCAGTCATTAAATTTGAAGACTTGTCAACAGAAACATTGGCCCTCCAAAAGTGCCTTTGCTTTAAAAGGAAAAGAATATTTTACAGTACTTATGAAGGAACCTTACAGTACAGTACAGAATCCATAGCTTGATCTGCCTTTACCGGTAATTTGAGCAGTTAAAAGATTAGCAGGATCGGACCCATGCTGGGAGAAACATGGCTAGCACAAGAGCAGCCAACTATTCACTCACTGTAGATTCCTCTCCCACACCCCAGGAATACTAGTGCCTCTCAGCAGAAGAGATAACACCATTTAAAGAAATTTTGGGGAATCACAGAGTTTATGCAATAGTGCTGAGGCTCTTTCCTATGTGTGAGCCATTTCCATCATTCTAACAATATTCTATAGAGCTGATGTGCGTGGGGCCCAAACGTGTGAAGTCAATCACGCATGCACTGGTGCCCATTCCAGTTCTCTTTCCACTCCTTTTCAATTTGGGGGACAGGGGGGTGAGGCTTGTACGTATTCATTTTCATTCCACAGTGAGGCCAGAAGCCAGAGTGACAGGCTATCAGGTGTACAGCATGCTTTTGCACTAATCCTGGAGCTGTCTGCCAGACAAGCAAAGTCTAAATGAGATCACGGTCCCCAGGCCCTCAGGAAGCAAAGAGTGGACAAGCGAAAAGCCATCTTCCAGACCAACTAAAGCATTGTGAAATTTTGCAGGCGTTCAAATTCCAAACCTGTAGGGACAGAGTTGGGTGGATTCAGAAGGCCCAAGTATCCTGTAATTGGCACAAATTAAACAGATTAAACAGTAGTATCTTCTGTTAGAATGGCAGTCCTTCTTACTGAAATATAGAGATTGACACAAATCAACACTGATTTTAGAAGCAGTCCTAACAATGATGCAAAAGTTAACGGCAAACATTTATATACCATGGGGGTTGCATTGGTGAAAAAAAGTTGAAACATTTTTCAAGTATTCAGGACTCCCTGCTGCTAAAAAGGAAGTTCCAGTGAAAGGTCATTCTTCTCTGGAGAACTTCAGGCTTGCTGTTCCATAAATTCCAAGTATGTAATAGGACACTATGAAGCAACTGCACTTTTGAAATCCATTGGCAGCCTCCTTTCTCCAGAGTGGCCCTGGTGAATCAGATCTTCTAGAATTTACACACCCACATGCTCACACTTTCTTTCTTTGCCATGCAGAACTGGAAGCCCCTACCCTGATTCCATTCAGTGCTGCCAGGCTCCATGGAAAGATCTGAAGTAAAATGCCACAGCAGTGCTGCAGAACACACACAGGCCCTTAAATAACTTTGACATCTGGCCAAGCTGTATTGAAAGTGAATATTCCATTCCTGAACCGTTGCCTCTTTCCACAACAATCCCATGCAAACTCCTCCCTTCACCAGTTCCATGCACACTCCTCCCTTCAACATTTATGGAAATATTGATCCAATGCCAATCACAAAGCAGTAGTGAGTGTGGTTGCCCTGAAGAAGACAAGCTCTCCCCAGCCAGTCCTTGTGCAAGTGATTTCTAGCTACACGCCACAGATGAGCATCACATAGAGCAAATGGATCTCTCATTGAGCTCACT